TCTTTGGTTCTACCCTTCAAATTCCACCCTCCATAGATGGACTTTGCTTTCCTTATGTCCTCTCTAAATCTACTCTCTTTAGTCCCCCTCTTCCCTCTCTCCACCTGATTTCCCTTTTGAGTTGAATGAATTTCTACACCAATCTTTGTGTGTATATATGTATCGATATAACCTTCCTCTGTCCAGTTAAGATGAAAATAAGGTTCATGGGGAGCCTGTTTCCCCTCACTCCTTTCTCTATGTTCATATGATCTTTTTTCATACCTTATGTAAGATAATAAATTCCACACCCTCTCTCTTTTCTTCTTTAGTAAAGTTCTTTTTCCTTCCTTTTAATTTTTTTCTCTTAAGGTCATCAAAAAATAGCAAAACTGTTCCTAGGTGTTCTCTCTTATTTAAGACCCCTGAACACATTAGTGATCTCAGGGGAAACTTATTTCTTAAGCCCCTACTAAAATATAAACACTTTATAATCATATGGCCCCTTCCAATTACTCAAATATATTTATCTTTCTGTTTTTCTCTTAACTCCTTTGTTTTCATTTCGCAGTATTTACTCAGCTCTAGCCCCTTCATCAGGAATATTTGGAAGTTCTCTATTTCCCTAAATGTCTGTTTTTCCCCTGTAAGACTTTACTCAGCTTTGCGGTGTAAGTTATTTTCAATTGTAAGCCTTTATCTTTTGCTTTCTGGAATATCACAGTATAAGCTCTCTTCTTTATTGTGTAGGTACCAAGTCTTATTCAATTGTAACTATGACTCCTAGGTATTTGAACTTTTTCTTTTTGCCTCTTTCAGTATTTTTCTTTGACCTGAAAAATTTCGTATTTCGGCTGTGACAGCCCTGAAAGTTTTCATTTGGGTCTTTCAGGACTTTGACCGGTAATTTTTTTTTCTATTTTCGCTTTGCTCTCTGGTTATAATAGATCTGGGAGGTTTTCATTTGTGATGGCTCAAAATACAATATTTAGGCTTTTTTGTTCTCAAAGTTTTCAGGCAGTCTGATGATTCTTAGACTATGTCTCCTTGATTTGTTTTCCAGATCAGTCATTTTTGGTAGGAGATATCTTTCCTTTTCTTTTTTTTTTTCCCAGTATTTTCATTTTGCTCTAAAATTGTTACACAGGGAGTTTATTACTTGAGTGAAGTTTTGCTCATTCTCCTTTCAACTCTTTCCCATAAAACTCTCATTTCCTTTCCCATTCTTTCCTTGAGAGTTCTCATTTCAATCACATGATCACTTTTAAATTCTTGCTCTATTTCTTCTAGAAATCCCAGTAGAGCATGTGGTAAATTTGTGGTTTTATTAAGGTTTTTCTCATACAGAATTCTTCTCTTCTTCTGGGTATGTATCTTTAGCATTCCTTGTTCTATATATTTCTTTCTTGTTAGTGTTTTCTTATGTTTACTCATTTTTCCAGGCTTTCTTGCTGAATTAGGATTTTGTATGGGGCCGTTGGCTCTGTGTACTTCTAGAAGGAATGATAGGCCTTCTTTAGTGCTGATCCATATTATCTGAGTAAAGTACCTCAGAGGCAGCTGGCCAACTCAAGTGATGAATGTGAGGTGGGTTGGATGGCCTACATTGGGACATAGTGAATAAACATTAATTAAGCATCCACTATGTGCAATACTGTGCTAAACCCTGGGGATACAAATACAAAAAAGAAAGACAATCCCTGCCCCAAACAGCTTACAATCTAATCCTTCCCTTCTGAGTCAGAGTAATTTAGCTGCATATTCTTGGCTGGTCTCCCATCACTCTGCCTTTGATATAGGGCTTTAGTCTCTAGGCTTCTTTGGCTTGTCAGAAGTCCTTGAGCTTAAAAGGCTTCCATGAACTGAAGTGCCTGGCTGGGGGAGGGGGGGCCCCAGTCTGGTAAAATGCATGGATTTCTCGATCATTTCTTAGTCTGGTATGGTTTTATTTATTTGTTTTTTAGATTCTTGCTAGAGTAGTTGTGAGAGAGCTGAGTCTGATCTGCTTTCAGTCACTTCACCATCTTGACAAAAGTCTTTTGATTAAGTAGCCTTCTCCTTAAAATTGTTAGTCTTCAACAAAACCCTGTTAAAATAAATGTGTTCTTCAAATGCAAACACGTTACCAAGAAGGTAATCCATTAGCACCCATTAACACATTAGTGAGAAGTAGTTTATGAGTAGTGATCAGGGTCTTATGAGAATGGTACATAGGGCAGGCAAGTTTTAATGGGAATGGGGTTAGGAAAGGTCAAGGGCATGGAGCCCATCTGGAAGAGGAATAGTTCAGATGAAAAGCTGAAATGGGGAGGGTGATACATTGAGTGTTAATTATAACAATAATGATAATAGCTAATATGTAAGTAGAGTGCTTTAGTGTTTGTACACATGTACATATGTACATGTACAGTTCATGCACGTGTGCCTGTATGTTTATATACATATATGCTACATACACACATATATTAAATTTCATTTGATCCTAATGGCAACCTTATGAAAAGATGTTATAATCATTCTCATTTAAAGCATGAGGAAATTGAGGCCAAGAGGATTTAAATGATTTGCCCAAGGTTACAAGCTAGCAAATAGCAATGGCAGGATCTGAATTCAAGTCTTCCTGACTTTTTAAGCCCAGATTGCTACCCATTCTTCGAAATTGCTTCTCATATAACCTAGGACATGAAAGCCAGAGGGGAAGTAACAATAATGACCAACATTTATAGAGTGCTTATTGTGTCCCAGGCATTGTGCTAAAGGCTTTACAATTATTACCTCACTTAACCCTTGCAACAATCCTGGGAGGCAGGTTAGCTATTATTACCCCCATATTATAGATGAGGAAACTGAGGCAGACAGATTAAGTGACTTGCCCTAGTAAGTGTTTAAGGGTGGATTTGAACTCAGGCCTTCCTGACTCCAGGAAGTAGAAGATAAATCTCACTTTTTCAGCCTCCTCTAGCACATAAAAGGTTTTGTTTTAAATAAATATTTACTCACAAAAAATGTCGGCCCTAAAATTCCATGATTTCATGACTGAAAGATTATGTTTCTTGAGATCAGAATGATGCCATAGACTTCAGGAGAAAGAGGATGGACTTCCTTCCTGACTCTTATGGTGTTTTGTTTTGTTTTCCCCCCCAAATGGGAAGTGTTTGACATATTTCATCCATTTGGGAAAACTATGGTGAGACTGATTTGGGGAGCTCCATCTGAGTACTTTCCTAGGAATGTGACATCAGTTCTCTCAGCCCTGCTACAGGAAATCGATTCCTGATGTATTCCAAAGGTTTGAAGGCCTTAAGAACACTATAGCCCTAAGGAGATGTCTTGTGCAAACAAAACCATGGAGGGTCTGGGGCAAGAGATGGGGGGAGGTCAGGCAGAGATCTTGTCTCCAGTCTCCTCCTGCTCCCCACTTCCAAACCAGGAACTACTGTCTAGACCTAGCTTTTTTGGCAAAGTCAAGTCTCTTTGAAATTCTTGGACAAAGGCTTATGCTGAAGCAAACTTCTCACCCTCCACCCATCCAGCTGGGCCCTGTCCTAGAGGTTGGGCCAATAAATTTTCCTCTCTTGATTCCATATAGTTTCCTCCTCTATAAAACAGAAATGGTAACCCCTTCCTGGCCATCTTCACAGGGCAAATAACGTGAAGCTCAAATTAGAGAGGCTTTGAAATTGTGAAGCTCTCAGTAAATAGGAACTATTAGTAGTAATAGTGAAACAATTAGGGGATAAGAGACTCAGGAGCAACAGATAGGGCCTTGTCAGAGGCCTGGGGCCCTCAGGCCTGGCAGTTTGGAGCCACAACCATCACTGGTATGATGGGAATCACTTTCTTTTTTAAAGGAAGAGGCCAGGGCAAACACCAAAGCTTTACTATAGACCTCAGCAGGCCAACCATTTCTTGACACTATTGTTTACCCTCAGTCCCAATTTGGACACACTCCTCACCACCCAGAGCTCCCAGCAATGTTTTTTCCCCTGACCTATAGAATCACAGGATTTTAGAGCTAGAAGCCACCTTTTAGGGACTCTTAGAGGAAGTGACCAATGAGTACAACCCTTTCATTTGATAGATGCAGAAACTGAGAGGAAATCACTTAGATATCTCACAGTCAGTGTCATTGCTGGGCCTAGAGCCCAGATCTCTTGATTCTCATTCAGGAGTGTTTTTTAGAAAATGTGTGGCTGAAAGAAACACCACTCCTCCAGCTTTTCCCACTAGGCCAGAAAGCCTATTTATTTATAAATGAATGCATTATGATTCCTGTGGGTTCACTAATAGTTTGGCCTTTCCCAGCTTCAGTACCCCTTTGTGTTTATCACTGTCAATGAGTTGTGATGCCTCAAGCTTCCAAGGTACATCTTACACTTTGGGAACACCAACATTCCTGCAAGGTACATCAAATAGAGACCCTTCTGCAGTCTTTTGCCCTTAGGGGAGGGGGAGGGGAGAATCTCTCTTCTTCCATATGCTCTTTTGCAGGTGGTACTCTAAAAAGAGGGGACACAAGGTTCAGAGAAATAACAACCCACTCATGGAAACTACTGGGGGTGGGTGACCCTGATGGCTCAGGTGAGACCAACTTCTCTTTGGGTGGGCTACAGAGTTCAGCCTCTCCCAATTTCAAACCAATTAAAAAGCAGTGGCCCCGCAGGGCCTCCTGATCCATGGCAAATGCAAGAGTGGCATTCGGTGGTCTGGGATTTCTGGCAAAAATAACTCTACTTTTTTCTTAGCAGAGTTCAGACCTATAACTGGGAGAGCTTTAATAGTGGAGACATTGTAAGCGTGTGACACGTGTAAGCATGACAGAAAGTGCATTTATGAGGAGCTAATAATGCCCCATCCTGGAATCCATCCACATTGTTTTCCGCAGTGATAACTTGTGATTTCAGAGGCATACAGGGCTCCCGATGACCAGTACATGACCCCGCCCCGCCCGTGCGTGTGCCTGCTCTGCAACTTACACGATGTCAGAGAGCTGCTTGGGGCCACGGAGAGGTCATACGTGTACGGGGGTCATGGGTCACAAGTGGGACGCCAGCTCGAGGTCTTGCCGACTCCGAGGCCTACTGCCGGCTGGCTGACTGACGTTTCTGTGACATTTGCTACTACTCTAGGGAGCCTGCCTTCCCCCGGGCTTTCTGATACCTGAAGGTGACATTCTCCAAGAGGCCGAGAGCAGGTTGTGTGGGTTTCCCAAATCCCCCAAACTCCCCACGGCGCAGCCCTCTGGGTAGGGATAAACAGGCCCTAGGCCTGGGAGGGTAGGGGGAACGTTCAGTCATTTTCCCGCCTCCGGGAGAGCCTGGATCGAGTGTTGCGCAGCTCTGCCTGGGAACAGAGCAGCCAATCACAGGGCGACCAGGGGTTTCCTGGGGCCTGCAGCAGGGGCTGGGGGTATATTAGGAGAAAAGGGAGGGCCCCACGTGGCTCTAGGAGGCGAGGTTCCGCGGCTTCGGTTGTGTCTCTCTGAGCTGGGGTTTTGGGAGCTGGGATCAGCCCGAAGGTAAGTGATCCTGGCCCCGAGATAGATGGGTCCGCTGGAGGGTGACGGGTCCGCCCTTTGTCCGACCAGTGAGAGCGTGGTGACGTAACGAGGGACCAAGAGGGCTTGGGAGCCTAGATCCAGAGGCTTCAGAGGCCGTCGAGTTGGGCCAGGTGCCTCGTTTTACAGAAGGGGAAACTGAGGGCCAGAACGGTTATCCGACTTGCCCAAGGCAAAATATATACATTGATATATGCTATATTTTATATATATATATGTATATATATAGTGTGTGTGTATATATGTGTGTGTGTGTGTGTGTATTATGTGTATGGGGCGGCTAGGTGGCGTAGTGAATAGAGTGCTGGGCCTGGAGTCGGAAGACTCATCTTCCCGAGTGAAAATCGGGCCTCAGACACTTACTAGCCGTGTGACCCTGGGCAAGTCACTTTACTCTGTTTGCCTCAGTTTCCTTATCTGTAAAATGAGCTGGAGAAGGAAATGGCAAATCACAACTGAAATGACTAAACAATACACACACACACACACACACACACACACACGCTAACACAATCATTTTGTCCAACCTCCACATTTTCCAGATGAGGAAATAAGATTCACAGAGAATATTGGGACTTGCCATTGAGATAGTTTTTATTTGTGTGTGTATTTAAACTTTTATATACACACACACATATACATATACACACATATATGTATATGCACAGAGTAAGATAGAGATGGGATTTGAATCCAGGTCCTTTGACTCTAAATCCAGCCTACTTTCCTCCATGTTAAGCTGGTCTGAGAGCCGGGGGTGGGGAGTCTGGGGGAAGGGCTAGCTCAGAAAAAAATAGTTTAAAACAAGTGACAGGTGAACAATCTGCTAAACCAGAAAGATAATGAATTTGAGGGTTCTCCCTCCCCCCCCAATCCCAAAGCCTTTGAAGTGGCCTTTACAGAAGGAATAAGTTTATTGAGCACCTGCTGTGCATTTTTGAATTATTCATAAGATCATAGGTTTAGGGCTGTAAGGGACTTCAAAGGGTACCAACTCTATTCACTCTTGATCCTTGAGAAATCTATTAACCTCTTGTAAAATGAGAGGGTTGGGTAAAAATCACCAAGATCCTCTCCCACTTTTATTCTGTGATTCTAGAATTTGGAGCCTGAAGGGACTTTAGGGATAATTTTGTCCCACCCCTTATTTTACAGGTGAGGAGTAAGATCCACCGAGAATGTTGGGACTTGCCACTGATTTATCTTGGCAAAACCAGCCAGAAAGAAAACCCTATCCTTGCCCTCAAGGAGTTCAGAGTCTAGCACAGGAAACAGAACAAGACAGGACAGTGAGCCCTAACGCCCACTCTTACCTCCCCTACCCTACCCCCTTTTGTTGCAATGTCTTTTCTAGGTGATGGTTGGATCACCCTTACTTCCTCAAATCATTTTCTGTTAAAGCTGTACCTTGAGGGGAAGGAAAGGAGGCATTTTAGGGAACTCCCCTGCATCCCTTCTTTTAGAGCTCAGGAACTAGTAGGAAAGACTGCCAAGCCATGGCCCGTGAGGGTGTCTGAGAGGTCCCAGGACCCTTCACTAATAGTCTCTAAAGTCCTCGGTTTGGTCAGAGATATTCTAGGGAGGCATTCTGTTTTAAGAATTAGTGGCCTATCATTTTCCAGAGCAGGTAAGTTGATTCTGCTGAGAAAATAGAAAGCTAAGTATATGGAAGTTGGTTTGTGGTAGAGGTGGGGGAATATAAAATTGTTTGAAGGTCTGGGACCTTGCTGGGGCAGCTTTCTGTCCCCCAAATTAGGGAGGGTGGCATTTCTTGCAAGGATAAATCCTTGGCATGCTCCTCAACTAACCTCCAACTTAGAGGTTTCAGTGTTACAAAGAAGCCCTCAGCATCTTCTAAAATACTTGGGAGCAGAGAGGACATATCCTGCTAAGTGAGCAGGGCTGAGAGATTTTGGGCAGGAGAGGCTAAGAAAATGAGAATCTGTCACCTTAAGGTTCTGTGCCTCTGTGTGGGTGTCTCTGTGTTGATTATAGACTAAAGGATTTTCATAAACCCATTTCCCCCCCTTTCCTTTCTCCGCCTTCTTCCCCCTTCCTTTCCTCTCTCCTAGTCTCTGCCCTGCTCACTTGAACACATGCATCCAAGGAACCCTCCACTTGGCCAGGCGTCCGAAGGGGACCGAGCTCCGGCTCCCGCTAGCAGGATGATGGACAACGAAGTCTTTGCAAACTTCCTTCTCTACAGCACCGTGCTAGTCATAAAGATGTATTTGCTGGCAGTTATCACCGGGCAAGTGAGGCTTCGGAAGAAAGTAAGTTTTCAGTCCCTCTGAGCCCTTCTCCCTTTCAACTTATGGTTTTATTCTGTTATCTCTGCAAATAGTTAGAGTTGGTAAATAAAACCCAGTATATGTTTATATCTGGTGGAGACTTAGAAGTGAGTTAGATGCTAAATATTTTCTTATTGTTTTCTTGGGTTTCTCTTTCCCTCAGTTCTCCCCACCTCCCCAGTCTGTTTCAGAAGGGTCTGGTTATTTCATCTTTTGCATGTAAAGAACATTTTTCTCATTTGACATGACATGTTCTCTGGAAGGGTATTGTGTGTTAATCGCTTCTTGGAAAGAAAATCAGGCTTCTTTTAAACCTGAAGTTCCGGAATAGTACAATCTGATAGCTTTGGAGCCTTGTATCTTTCACAGGGAAACTGTATTTTGGGGGTGGAGTAGATTTGGCTAAACAGGGACATGGGGATCATTAAATGGAAATTCCCCAAACCCCAGGCTGATTATTCTCCAGGGCCATCAGAATCTTCTGAGCCAGGGTTTTAGCTGGAAATAATCAAGAGGATTCAAGTTCTGGCACAGTTTATGTGGAAGAATTTTCACCCGACATGTTTTAGTCTCTTAACGATTGGGGGAAAATACAGAGAGAATGAAAGTAGAGAAATAAGAAGTAAAAACTGTTCAAGATGGGAATGCATTTTTAACTGGATGGTGATCAGACAAGTAAGCGTATAAGCCAGCAGGATGGACCTGTTTTATATTATATAGAATTGCAAGAGAATGCCTGCTGCAGAGGACTGCAGTTCCAAAGGTCCACCTGGAGTTTTCACCCAATTCAAATTTTTCCATATGATCTCTCTGTTGATACAGTTCTAATTAATCATTCCTGTTTCTATCTTCTGCCCTTCTGGGCATTGGGTTTAGAGTAAAAAGATCTGGGTTTAAGTCCCAAGGAATCCTACCACTTATGAGCTGTGTGACCTCAGGCAAATCATTTGACTTCTCTGTTTCTTCATCTGTAAAATGGGAATGATAATATCTGTACCATGTACTTCATCAGGTGAGACAACCAATGTAAATTATGCTTTTTTAGTTAATTTAGCAAACATTTGTTAAGCACTTTATAAGTGTTATTTATTATGGTTCTTTCCTACATCATAGGATGGTGGTTGCATTTCAGAAGCAAGTAAAGTTTCAGCATAGAGCCTAAATCTTGTTCAGAAGCTGGGAGGGGAAAGGAAGAGAAGCAATCCATTGAGCATCACTGGAAGCTTAAAGGAAACATGACTTCCTGAGACACAGAAATGGGTGGGATTGTAGATTTATTGCTGGAAGAGACTCTAGAGCTCATCTAATCCAAAGCCCTCATTTTCAATATGAGGAAACTGAGACCCAGAGAAATTAAAGTCATTTGCCCAAAATCACATGGGTGGTACTTTTAGGAATGTGGAATGCATGTAAGCCATTGTGTTGTCACTAACTACAGTTCTAAAGACATGGGAACAAGTAAGAGGAGTGCCCGTGCTTTACACCAGGGCTTGTTTGTTAAGTTACTAAAGCCAGTAGTCATTGCCCCATTCAAGAATAATTATTCCTGTGTGAAGGCATTGTTGGGGAGGGGAATTCCTCAGATTAGACTGACCTTGCTTCTTCGTGCCTTGTTTGGTTATTTCTTTAGTTCTTTGCATTTCATACCCAGGCACAGAGTAGCTTGTGCATCTATTAAGCCATAGTCTGGTCACCCTCCTAGAGGCAGTGCAGTTCTAGGTGAGATGGGGTAAAAGGAAGTAAGAGGTTTCACTGGGAATAGCTTAAATACAGAAATAAGCACGTTGCTTCTGGCTGGAGTCTTTAGGCCCCCCCCTCCCCCAAATCTCCCTGCCTGGTGTAATGGAAAGAGGGAAGGGCTTGGAGACTGAGAGCCTGATTTCACATCTTGGCTTCATTCCTTAACTTCCTTTGTGACCTCAGGCTAGTCCTTCAACACCTTGAGGCCTCAGTTTCCTCCTCTGATAAATGAAGGGGTCAGACTGGATGACCCCTAAGGTTCCTTTGAGCTCTAAGTTTGTGATACCATAAACTTTGTTTTTGTGCCACTCATTTATCTGGGTGTTATTTGTTTGGGGTTGAAGTTTACCTCTCCGACTAGCCTCTAAGCTCCAGGAGGTCAGGGACAGTGTCTTAAACATCTTTGGAATCCATTCTGTCTAGGAGAGTATGTTGCACAACATTATGATCAGTGCATTGATATTTAAGGATAGTAGGAATATACTAGCGAACTGTAAACAAGGCATGACAGGCAGTCAGTAAATATTTTTTGAATAAATGAATGAAGGGTTAGGATAATTCCATGCTTCAAGAAGCATGTTGCAGCTCTTCTGGCTAAAAATGGTATCCCAGAGATTGGGCCTAGCTTGGTTTGAAGTTAACAGATAAGAATCTCTTGTGCTGATCCCAGTTCTGATGAACTTATTAGATAACTTGGGACAAATACCATAAATTCCAAGCTCCTTCCCTCCCTGTGTATAATGGGAAGCGTGAAATGTTATTTTTGCAAAATCAGCTAGATATGAAAACTGGCAATGATCCACTGGAGATCCTGGCCTCTGGATTCCAGGATCAGAGATCCTGGAGCTGAAAGGCATTTCAGAGGCCATCTACTACAACCCCTTCATTTTGTAGATGAGCTAACAGGCCTAGAGAGATGGAGTAACTTGTCCAAGTTCATACAGGTGATCAGTGGCAGAACTGGGATTTGAACCCAGACCTAGATTCTAAATTCACCCTTTCCCCGTGTACCACCTAGTCTTCTACAGCTGAAAACATTTAATTTTCTAAATGTTCTTATCCTACTTCTGATGGCAAGGACGACATTGCTTTTTGCTCAACTCCTAGTATCAATCAGCAAGAATTTGTCAAGCTACTTATTTAGACAGCTAGTGGAGAGAATCCTGGACTTGGATTCACGAAGACTTGAGTTCAGATCCTGTTTTAACTACTTATTATCTGGGCAAGTTGCTTCATTTCTCCCAGCCTTAGTGTCTTCATCTGTAAAATGGGAATAATAATAGTACCTACCTCTCAGGGTGGTTTTGAATGCCTAAGGACATAACTTTGTAAAGTACATTGCCAAACCTTAAAGCACTTTGTAAAAGCTAGCTGTTATTATTGCCCAGTGCCTACTCTGTGCCAGGCATCGTGTCAGATGGTAGGGGTACAAAAGACAGACAAATAAAACCTACATATAAGGCCCTTACATTCTAACAGAAAAGCAGAAACAGGGTGAGAGTAGTCTTGGGGGCACCATGTGAACCTAATTGAGTCAGTCAACAAGCATTTATTAAGCTATTACTTCGTAAAATTTGTGAAAAATGCTGAGAATACAAATGTAAGTAAAAGAAAGACAATGCCTGCCCTCAAGGAGCTAACATTTTGAATGGGGAATGCTATATAAAAGGAAGATGAAGTGAGGGGTGGGTGTGTGGACAGGGGCGTGATAAAGGAGTCTAGATCGCTGGCCTGGGCACTTTTTTGGGGGGGGCAAAGCATTTGGGGTTAAGTGACTTGCCCAGGGTCACACAGCTAGTGTCAAGTATCTGGTCTGAGACCAGATTTGAACTCAGGTCCTCCTGACTTCAGGGTCGGTGCTCTATCCACTGCGCCACCTAGCTGCCCTGGCATTTTTCTTAAATGGAGGTGTGGGGAGGGGCCTCAGTGACTGAGGTGTGAATTCAAGGGCTGAAGTGATCTCCTTGGATAAAGAAAGTGTGGGAGGGAGGAAAAGAACAAACATTTATCAAAGCTCTCTCTAGTACTGTGTGCCAGGCACCGTGCTAAGTGTTTTACAATTATCTCATTTGATCCTCAGAAACATTTCTACCTAGAAGTTGGTATTATTATCCCATTTTACAGTTGAGGAAACTGAGACCAACAGAATGACTCGCCCAGGGTGACACAGCTAGTAACTGTCTAAGGTTAGATTTGAACTCGGGTGTTGCTGACAGCAGGCTCAGCACTTTGTCCACGACCCCCCTAGCATGCCTTTTCTGGGGCATTATAGAGGAGTCTAAATCGCAGCCTGATAAGAAATGAAGAGATGATTGGCCTCCTTAAATGGAAATTCCTGTGATGAAACATCCTTAGGCCTGACTTATTTCCCATACGGTAGTAATTCTCCATGAATATCTTTTAGGCTTTTGCCAATCCAGAAGATGCCTTGAAGCATGGAGGCCTCCAGTATTGCCGGATGGACCCAGATGTGGAGCGATGTCGCAGGCAAGTATCTGCCATCTGTCCCTGTGTGTTCCTAGTTCAGCCTCTCACTTCTTCCCATCCTATGTGTTAGGGTGCTTAATGCTATTTTGGAGAGATGGCTGGTGGGTTGTGGAGAGATGGGTGATGTCTTAGACATTCTCCTTCCCTTCTGCCAGTTTCTGAGCTAGGGCCAAGAGGGTGGAGTTGGTGAAAACAATGTAGAGCAGGGATAATTGTGGATGGGTGGGTAGTAGACATAGGATGGTTTGGGACGGGACAAAACCCTTCTGTGCCCTAAACAAATGAATGGATGTGTCACCTCAGACTAGAAAGCAGGAGTAGTTTGCACTAATTACAAAGCTCTCTTTACTTATGTTATTTCCTCACTTGGTAATTTCATTTACCATAAGCCTATCCCTCATGCCTGGAAAGTATTCCCTCCTGCTCCTCCTCCTCTTCCTTTATTTCCCCCTCACCCTTTTCTTCCTTCTCCTCCACCTCTCTGAAGGTTAAGTGACTTGACCATAGCCATTCAGTGGAGCCAAAACTTCTACCCAGGTCTTTGACTTCAAGTCCCACACTTCCCACCAGTGCCACACTATGCTCTTGAAAGGCTGGAGCCCAAATAATGAGGAATTACCAGAGTCCTTGGCATCTTCACCACAGCTTAGCAAGTTATTGCAGAGTATGGAATAGAGACATTCGTTTTTCAGAGATTATAAGAATTTATAGCCCAAGGAGTAAATCTCATCAACCTGCAGAGACTAGAGTAGTTAAATATTAGGCCAGGGCTGATGGAGCTGTTACTCAGTAGCTTGGCCTTTCAGCCGGGAAAGAATGAAAGCATTTGTATTTTGGTTTTTGGGAGCAGTAAAGATACCCTATAGGTGAGAAAACTTGGACTGCAGCTAGGGAAGGCTGGGGAGAGGGAGGCAGAGTACCCGCTACCACTATGTTTAAACACTGCCTTTTTAGATGGCCTGAAAATAACAGCCTGGGAAATGGGGCTGAATGCTAAGACCTTATCTGTATATACACATATTTGGAAGGTGTTCATGTGGCATAGCAAAAGGAGAAAAACTACTTCAGAAGGAGGTGAAAAAAAGGAGAAAAACCACTACGCATAATTATGTTACCCTTCTCTTGAATGTGTAGACAAACTTATGGGATGGACTAATAGGGATGGATGCTTGCATTTCTTGTGGACAGGGATTTGGGAACAGGAGGAAAGTATAGAGAAGGGCACAAATGGATGAATGGGGTATTGCTAGATGTAGTTGAAAAGAGCATTAGATTTGGAGTCAGAGGGTCTGGGTTAGAGGCCTTGCTCTGACACTTAACTAGTTTATCATGGGAGTCAGTGCAAGGGGGACCTGGGTTCATATTCTAGCTCTACCCCTTGCTCTTGTATAATTACCCTCAGGCACTCAGCCTCCCTGGGCCTCAGTTTTCTCATCTGTAAAATGAGGGGAGTTGGACTAGCTGACATCTTAGGTCCCTTTCAGCTTTAGGAGCCTGTGATCATAGCTTTGTATCCTTAGACAAATAGCTTTTTCTCTGGACCTTAGTTTCCTCATTTTCAGAACTGGGATAATGCACTACCTACCTTTTGTTTTGTTTTTGCTCTCCATATCTTAAAGTTAACATAAGGAAAGCATCTTGTAAAACCTTAGAGCTTTGGAATAGGCATTGTTAGTAAGTTTTCTATTAGTCATAATGGAAGAAGTCTTAGGAAGACCAGTTTAGCTCACTTGAAAGAAGCTCATCGCCAGACAGTTGGCCACAGGTTAGTGAACTTTTCAGCTATAGAAACTCAAAAAAACCCACATCCCTGTCTGCTGTTGTGATCTGCTTTGGTGGGGAGAGCACCCACTTTGATGAAATCAGAGGTCCTTGGAGTCTAAGCATGATTGCCACCATGTTGGAGGATGGCCAGGACAAAGTCCAAATTACAGATTTCCACATACCCATTTCTATTGGAGTTTGACATCACTGCCATAGTTGTTATGTTTGCAGATGACTCGGAGTTGATTGCATCAAGCCCTAGAACATTACAGAGTCTTTTAAACGAAACCCATAATCATGCCTAAGAGTTCAGTTCCTATCCACACAGGAAAACCCCAGTGGATAAAGAATACGTATCATCCAGACTACAACATGTAGTTTGACAGGTGATCCATAGATCTGGCCCATTAGTACCTGTATCTTGGAAGGACACTGTGCAGGGCAATAAGTTGGGCCCAGGAGCAAATAGCAGGTTAAATAGGCTGCAGGAAATTGTGCTGTCCCAAGCTTCTCCCTGAAACAAAAGGCCAATTTTTAAAACATGACTATCCCTCTGCTGATGCTGCCTGATATGGGGCACAGAGTGACCTCATCTCTGAAGAGTGAAAACTGTAGGTCATCCTAAAGAGAGGTGGGCTCTGAAATGTGACTGAGGAGCAGTTGTGGGGAAGAAGCAGCATCAAGAATGACAGAAAGGAGGGGGGAGGGTCGCAGAGCCTAAGGCATCGATCCAGAGCTGGAAGGGACTGGGGAGGCCAGCTGGTCCAATTTCCTCACTTTACAGATGAGGAAACTCAGGTGAGAGATGATCAGTGGACAGCCCATGGGTTCCATCACATCCATCTATGAAATGAGTAAGCATGTATAAAGCAAACCTTAAGGTGCTATATACGTGCTGGCTGCTATTATTATTCATGTAATGTCAAAAGGTTTTGAGAAAGGCTCCCAGCACAGCAGATGGACCACTTGCAAGAGCGTTTGTGGTAGGAAATGAACACGGCATGGATGAGTTAGAACCTGTACTGTGGGAAGGAATATCTACACCCCTTCCCCATTACCAACCCATTGAAAAGCCTTCAAAGTAATATATTTTCATAGTCCAGTTTATCAAGCATTGAAGGCACTGGGGTAGGTGCTGAATTAGTTACTTGAAATTTATTAGTTGGCAGGAAATTTATAAATATCTTCCTATTTGTATTTTTCATTGTTTGGGGTATCAGTGGAACCCAACTTCCCTTTTCTCTACACCAGCAATTCTCAGACCTTTTGGTCTCAGAATCCCTTTACATTTTTAAATTATTGAGGACCCTCATATGTGGGTTATACCCAGGGATATAACACAGCCAACTGCACCTGGATGAGCCAGTTGTTACATTTTTAGTGAGTATTTACTTCTTGAAAATCAACAAAAGCTACAAATCAGGGCTTGGTTTATTGTTCTGTTGATTGTTTAGACTTAAGAAATTGATGGAGAAAATATTAATAATACAGATGAAACATAAAAGTATGTCTCACTGTGTACTTTTTTCTTGGAATGCTGATGGTTAAATATTTATCAGCCCATTCTTGTTTGTATCTTGATATTTGGCTGGTTGTTCAGGTGTTTTTCAGTCACGTCTGACTCTTCATGACCTTATTTTGAGGTTTTCTTGGTGAAGACACTGGAGTGGTTTGCCTTTTCCTTCTCCAGCTCGTTTTACAGATGAAGAAACTGAAGCTAGCAGGGTTAAGTGACTTGCCCAACGTCACATAGCTAGTATCTGAGGCCAGATTTTAATTCAGGAAGACTCATTTTCCTGACTCCAGGCCTGGCACTCTATCCGCTATACCATGTAGATGCCCCATTGACATTTACAGTATTAGAAAGTAAAACATCTTAGTATTATGATGAAAATAGTTTTGACATTGTGGACCCCCTAAAAGGGTCCTGAGCATCCCTCTTGGATCCTTGGGCCACATTTTGAGAACACCTAAATTAATGAGGTTTTACTCTGTTTTTTACCAGCTACAAAACTGAGCTGAGATAGGGTTACCTTAAAGTGAAAGTCATGAAAATTGTAGAGGCAGTGGGAGGAAAACAGCCTGCCTCCTGGATTGCCTGGACGTGACTCCTAGCAGCTGCTCTCCCAGTGGGGACAGGGCCTGGGGGGAAGGCGCCACTTCTGAAAGACAGCTATCGAATTTCCAAACGGCTGTAATGACATAGTAAAATTCAGGCTGATGTCGCAATAGCTCAGCAAGAGGCAGGATATTGCAGTATAGGGAAGCTGGCTGGGGAGCAAGTCTGGTCTGGAGTGAATTTGTTTTGGATGACTCTTGCCTTGAAGTGGTCATTATTATGAATGACACACGTTAGTCTGTACCTCTGTTGGCTGAATGTATTTTTTGTTTTTTCTTCTCAGATTAGATTCTGAAAATGTGAGTCTCCTTAGAACAGGCTCCTTGTGTTTGCACTTTGCTCCCTCACCTCCATCGTGGAGAATGTCCTTAGTGGCTTTATTTGGAACCATTTTTATAGGATCCTAGTTATAGAAGGAAGAGGGACCTTTAGAGGTCATCTAGTTCAGCACCTTTTAAACTGTGGGTCGTGACCCCATCTGGGGTCACGACCCACAGTTTAAGGAAGTGCTGAAGGGGTTGTGAGTGGAAAAAGTTTAAGAAGCTCTGATGTAGTCCAACTCCGTCTTGAAAAGAGTTTATTAATGCATTTTGATTTTACACATATGCCTCCCATGCTCCTCTACCTTCAACTAAACCTTCTCTTGTAACAGAAAAACAGTAATTGCAGTCATATATGATTTGACTAACAGTGTCTGCAGCGTGCTGCCCTTGTAGCGTCCCATCTCTCTTGTGAGGGGAGGGAGGTATGGTTTATTATCTGTTCTCTGAGCCAACACTTTTCATTTTACCAGTGATTAAATTAAAGCCCAGAAAGATTAAGGACTTACCAGAGATCACACAGGCAGAGTCAGGATTTGAACTGGGGTACTCTTGACTCCAAATACAGTGTTCTTTCTGCTGTACCATGTTGCCTTTTAGTGACCTGGACTACATGGCCCTATTTATGTGTACAGTTGTGAGGAATGGGAATACTGCACTTAGCCCTGGTCATTGCTTAGAGAGTCTTTATTTAGAACTCTCATTCTTGGGGAGAACATCCTCCTATGGCTAGTATTATGTCAGAATGCTGGGAGTTCTCAGGCTGAGAGAGTCCTCTGGGGAGAAAGACTTGGGTT